CCGAGCCGTTTACTGGAACATTCACCCTACCACCCTTGTGGGTTCTACCGTTTATTTGCTACTTATTTTATTGTTACTTTAAGGAAATAACAATTGTTATCATTATTATTATTATTTGGTTACAAAACTTTGTTTGTTATTAAATCAACGGAGAGCTTCCCGACAATTCAGAAATTAGCAAATAGTTCAAACTGGTTGTCATTTTGGAGATTTGAACCTTATAATAGATTGCTTTGAAAACTAGTTTTCAGAGTGACTCAGAGGAAGAAGTAATAGTAATAGTCCAAGAGCCAACCGCAAATTTTTGATTGCCAAGCATACTGATATGGTTTGATAAAAACTAGTCAAAACTTAAGTATTTTGATGCTAATATGCAATCTAATCAGGTTAAAAGTTAATCGGAGCGGTCTAATTGATTAAAGAAGAAATGAAAATTTACTGTATCCAGGATTCTCTTAAAAAATGCATTTGCCAAAATCAGAAACTCGAAAAACATTGAGAAACAACGATTACGGACGTTTTAAACTTTTTCGTTTTTCGCATATCCAAAATACTTTCAAAACCTACAAAGCGTTTCCATCCTTGTGACAAAATTAGCAGTAGGTACTTTCCGAGTTGTAGAGACACTACGATTGAAGGATTTCTTGAAATTTAATTTTATCGTGAGGTGTATACAAAATGCCATCTGAGAAGGCCATTCATTCAGTCACATGAAACAGATAAAAATACTGGCGGCTGCCATCCCACGCTATAGTCATTGCCCACACGTCAATCGATCAACAGACCATTCGCATAGGAAAAAAAAAGATGCCTTACCCACGAAAAGGCTAATGATATATCTGGCGGTAGCGTATTTAAATCAAATCGCTGATGTTGATTTTAAAATTATGAAATAATTATCCATTCACCTAACTGATTATTCACACTGTGTGTGTAGATGTCGGCTCACGCGCAATTTGTCTTTTTTATAAACAAACACTTCGTATTCATTCATAAATAATTAGCCAATCAACATAAAGTTTCAATGCAAACTGAAATGCAATTATACAAGATTTATTTGAAAACTTCTCCAAGCATTGGTTGTTGAAATGTCAGTGGCGGGTAGTGGGTGTACAGCAAGAATGCTTATATGATACATTTTGCACTCCTGATACTCAAATGTTATATACATTTTTGCTAGGCAACAAATTCGCAACAATCGGCCAAAGTTTCCTAGTGACCAATTCGTTCAAAAATATTGAAGAAGCAAGTATTAAAATTATTACAAATTCAAAAGTGAATGTTGTGAAAAACTGTTTTAAATCAGGGTCCCTGCACCAAAACTCTGATAGATGCCCAACCTTATTTGGACGTTTCACATACAAGTTCCATCGTCACAGCCATGCTGCCAATTAGAATCATAGTGCTTCGCATGGTGTCAATAAAAACTCATTTTTCCTTTTAAAGAGAATATATTCTTAAGCATATTAGCTTTCCAAGGAAATATCATCTGTCAATTTTCCTCGTAGGTTTTCCTAAGATTTCGTGTTCTCAGAATTTCGAAAAGCGGCGACGGTGGTCGACACGTATCCAGCTGTTAAGCATAAATGGTTGCACGGCCTTCAATTAGACTGGATATCTTTCGTGCTCGACGCGTTAACATTGTTTTACTTAGTTTGAAATTGACTACTTGTGATAGCGGTACGGAATAGCGTGCGTTCATTGTTTACTATTTATTCATTGTGTATTAAGTATAGTACCTAGTAATGTCATCACAAACTCAGAAGCGAAAGCACAAAACATTGACAATTAAAGAAAAATGTGATATTTTAGACCGCTTAAATTGCAATGAAACTTTCAGTAGTTTAGCAAGTGAATACGACGTAGGCCGATCTACAATTTATGACATTAAAAGAAACCACGAGAAGATCAAGAAGTTCGTGTCAACTACTGACTTTGGCCCAAGCAAGAGACAGACTCAAGAAAGCTGAACATTCTGAAGTGGAAGAAGCTTTGTACATGTAGTTTCTTCCGGAAAGAAATAGGCATGCACCAATTTCAGGACCCATGTTGGCCATGAAAGCTAAGTTTTTTCATAAGGAAATAACAATAGAAGATGATTTGGTGGCCAGTAAAGGATGGCTAGAACGTTTTAAAAGTCGTCATGGCATACGTTTAATGACTATTACAGGAGATAAACTTTCTAACGATGCCACCTGCATAGAGCCCTTTAAATTAAGATTTTTGCAAAAGGTGAACGATTTAAATCTTGACCCGTCACAGGTGTACAATGCAGACGAATCAGGGCTTTTTTGGCGTGTGATGCCTAACAAATTTTTCGTTTCTTGGAACGAAAAATTCGTACCTGGACGAAAAGTAAGTAAAGAGCATATAACCATACTACCATGTGCTAACGCTGCGGGCACACACGCGCTTAAGATGATGGTCATTGGGAAATCTAATAAACCACGGGCATTCAAAAACATTGATTTACCTGTACACTATTACGGACAAAAAAGTGCATGGATGACAAAAGTCCCTTTCAAAAAGTGGTTTGATGAATGCTTCATACCTAAAGTTAGAAAATGTTTAAAAGATCAAAATTTTCCTCAAAAAGCGTTGTTGCTTCTTGATAACGCTGCCGGTCATCCGTCTGAAAAAGAACAACAACTGAGGATAAATGCATCACTGCGATGTTTCTTCCGCCAAATTGCACTGCACTGATTCAACCAATGGATCAGAATATCACTTAGTTTGTCAAGCAAGACTATAAGAAAAACCTACTTCTGAGAGCCGTATCAAAAGACCAACCAATAGAAAAAACTTTAAAAGATTTTAATATGAAAGGTTTTTGCTCTTTGTCAGTCGTGGACTGCGTTATCAACTATTAAATCGTCTTGGAAAAAGTTATGGCTAGATATAGTCACCACTCCTAGCAACGCTCCACAAATCAGTGACTTCGGAAGTTGTAGAACAAGTCGCTACTGAAACACAGATAAGTCCGGAAGATTTGGAAATCTGGTGCAGTGGAATGGATAAAGAGGAAAATGTTTTTCATGAAATTTTTGACGAAGAGATTATAAAAGAGGTTTCTAATTTATACAACAAACAATCAGGAAAATAACGACGACGTGATTGCAACTTCTCCACAAGTCACAGTACAAGACGCAATTAACTCCTGAGCTACGTTTACAATGGGCTGAAGAGAATGGTACACCCTACAACGAACTAACTACTAACTGATCTCGCGTTATAACAACCTTAAACAAAAAAAAATTGATGAATATTTCCAAGCTTCATAATTTCATAAATTCATTAATAATTTTGATTAATAATTCTTGATTATTTTGGTACATATGTATGTGCATTTATGTTTAATTTTATAATAAAACGTAAGCTCTCTATTGTTATTTAATTTACTAAGTTCGACATACATAAACTATGTATAATTTGTACTTCAAAGTATATACATATACATAACATATATAATCTTACCATTGGATATGTAATTTGTCGGATTACAAGGTACTCTTTTGTAAAAAATTCCGGACTATAGGGGGTCTTACCGGATTACCGGAGGTCCACTGTAGTTCTTTTACCGTTTTTGGTTGTTACGTCATCAATATAGGTACACAGATTGACTAACTGTACCATGTGCGTAGCTGAATTTTCCTAAGGGAAACTGCACCCTGAACAAGCTGAGTCTTAACGCAGCTATTGCTCGCTCAAGGACACACACATGGATTGGGTGATAGAAGACCGTTGTTTTGATTCACTTTTAAAAAATACTTCAATTTTAATACAGATTGTCGATATTGCAGTTGTATCTTCATGCACTGTTTTACATCGAAGATCAACACAAAGTAAGCTCGCACGCTCATGTCAAGCAAGTTGTTATTCTGACAATGACAAGCATGCGTATGGAAGAATCATACCTTGACGAGAGAATTTTTTAGGGCGGTGACAAAACAAAAAACACGTATGTCTGAGCTTATACAAACAAACGTTCGCGCATGGAGGCCGATTGCATATGAGAGACGCATTTATGAAAGTAATTCCTGCAGTTCTACTGTGCCCACCAAAAACTGTAAAAAAACATATAGAACCACTCTCTATCAGCTCTGGCACATCACGATAGAACTGTTTTGCATTAAAGTAATCAAAATATCTTTTTTACACCGAAGCAGTCGCACAGACAAAAGCCTAAGTGCCAGGGCACCGCGGCTGCTATGAGGAGCTTAAAGAAACTTTGTCAATCCGATTTTTGAAATGCCTAGGGCTAGTAGAACTGGGAAAAGCCTCCTCATGTAGATTGTTCCACAATCTTGATACCCTAGGGACATAGGAGCGATAATATCGGCCAGTTATGGATGTACGAAGTTCGACACGGTTGTTGGCCGAAGTTAGGCGAGTCTTTCGGGCAGGCATTGAGGAGCGGTGAAGAGAGCTAGATCGCCGACGGCCCGATGGTGCCAAAGGGTACCGCTATTGACGAGATGTGTTCGTGCCAGATCAAGTCCTCTGTGATCTGAACTCATAACCGCTTTTTGGTAGAACTTGGCCATACATCGAAACCGGATGAGCACTAGGACGCTTTTTGTTCATCAAGGTAGAATACTGTGTTTTGAAAGCATTAAACTGTACTAGATTGTCGCTAGGTACTATTCTTCTTTCCTCCAGCTCACCATCAGAGATCAGCTTATCACTCTGAATGATTGATCGTACAGGAAAGGAGGTAAATGATGTAAGAGGAACAATGTCGTAGCCAAGACCGATCCCTGGGGACAGCCGCGCTGGCATTGTGTGCTGCCAGAGAAAAAGCCTCTCATCCGCAAAGCTTCTCTGGGATGCCATAGGATGGAAGTTTGCTTGACGTAAGCTAGGAGATCCCTTGTGGATCGCTGGTGCCGCAAACCATACTATCTGTCGCTAATCAAGCCGGAACGTTCGAAGTACTCCAGGAGCTCCCGATTTATGCAAGAGTCGGTCTTAGATCCTTTGGAAAAGAAAGAAACACATACCTGACTTGGGAGCCTCATATGATCTATTAACGTCAATTCTGGCTGACTTCGTCTTGTGATCCTCGACATCCGAAAGCGATGACAAGCTCTCCAATTGAGGGTTCGGATCGGAGTTTCGTCGTTTGAATAATCTCATTATTGTCGTCTGCAATAAATAGAGAAGTTAATTCGCTATTAAAGATTTTTGGGTCCATAATCATATATAGAATTGCTTTTTTACTAGCGGAAGTATATAGTTTATATTCATTTTTCAAGAGCGATACGTTTTATCCTATTTTTTTGCTCGTGTGTTGAAAAAGAACGTATTTTTAATTTGTAGTCAGTCAATAGGACTTGTTTTTTATTGCGGATATCATTGAAAAAGAATAAAGTCACAGCTTTGGGGCGAACTCCTACGTTTGAACTTTGTTGATCATGTTTTACTACTGCTCTTTCATAGATAGAAGTGAAAATATTCATAACACATCTTGGTGAGAAAATAATGTCCCATCGGAATAAAATATTTGGGGAATACCTCATTATAGGTTTTGGAAATGTACAGGTGTTTCTGTAGATGTCTATCAGTCATTGTATGAATAGGAATGAATTCCGTTTATCTGGCTGGGTGAGAAATTTAAAGAATAGCTATTTTGTCGTTCTAATAATGCATGCTTCAGGACTTAACCAGCGCTTCTGATACAACTGAAAACCGGGTGCAAGAAAATTTTTACACCAACATATAGGGATGCACAAAATTCATAAAGCATCCATATATCGATACTCGATACATCGAAATTAGATATATCGATGTTATAAATCATCGCTGCATTTTTATCGATGTTTCAAAAACATCGGTTTGAACCATCGATAATACGATAATATCGCTACTGGTATTAGTAGGTATACATTTTTACACGTAAATTCCGTACATGTTATTGTAATAATTGTCAACAATTTTTTCTAGTTGGTGGCAAAAAAGAATATAAATATTACAAGTAATTTTTGATATTCAATAAAACTACAAGGAACATTGAACACTGTATTATAAATAACGTACATACATATACAGGGTGACAGGTAAATAGGTGTAAAACATTTTAGGAGGTGATAGTACAGCCCCTTTGCTATCGAAATTAGTATATAATACCATACCCTATATTCAAAGGTTGAATAGTTATTGAAGATTCAAGATTTTTTTAAAAACAATCCATATTTCAGAGTAAAAAAGTCGAGAGAGAAAAAAGTTGGCGATTAAACATTTGTTTTTGGTGGTTTTGGGTTATTATTTCAATAATTAACTATTATAAATTAAAAAAGATTCGAAAACAATACCAAACAACGTATTTATTTTCATTCAAAAATGTTTAACTAAGAAAAACAAATAACGTTTTACAGTAAGTAAGGTGCTTTACAAAAAAATCAGTATACAAAAAAACGTACAAATAATTTAAATAATATACCTGTTTCATAAGGAATCTAAATTGGTATGATAAGTGCACAAAAACTGTGTGAAACTAAACATAATGTATTGTAATACAACAATAGGGAGTAAATTTACCAATGGCTTGTCTCCTATTTTCACAACTCTCTGATTGATAGGAAAGTGTTTTTGTGAAAATAATGTAACTGTAAGCTATGGGATAGTTATTATTTTAAACTACGGTTAAGTTACACGATTAGATTATTTACACAGTTGTAATTGTACTACAGAATAATAAAAACTGACTAAAAGTTACTACAATTGGTAAGTAAAATACAATAATGAAATGAAGGTAAAATTAATTGCAATTGTTGTTCGAACTGACGCCCGCCGTTTCTTATGCAAGCCCGTAGTCTTTTTCTCATGTTGGTACGCGTGATGCGGCCAGTTAGTTGTCCTCTGATAGTGTCAGCAGCAGCAATAATTCTTTCTTTCAGCTGTGCAAGAGTGTCTATGGGCTCAGCGTACACCAGTGACTTCATGTGCCCCCATAAATAATAGTCACACGGTGTTAAATCTGGGCTCCTCGCTGGCCATGGTGTCGGTCCACCTCGACCAATCCAGCGACAAGGATATTTCTCGTCCAGCCACTGTCTAACACCCAGACGGAAATGCGCGGGACAGCCATCGTGTTGGTAGATCATCTGCATCCTGATATTCAGAGGCAGGTCTTCGAGATACTCCCAGAGTTCGGATCTCAAAAAGCTTTCATAGGATCCGCCATTCAGGTTGTCAGGCAAAAAAACTGGTCCAATTAGATACGTATGAATGATTCCCATCCACACGTTTGCCGAAAATCTTCTTTGATGGGCTCTTGGCTTTGCCATGTGGGGATTTGCCTCTCGTGGGGCCCAATAATGTAAGTTGTGATAATTTGTTGTCCCCTCTCTGTCAAACTTAGACTCGTCGGTCCACAATATTTTAGTTAAATACTCGTTTTCTTCTTGATCCCGATGAAGCATGTATCGCCAAAAATCAATTCTTTTTGCGGGATCTCCTTCTTCTAATACTTGAACCGGTGTGTAATGGAAAGGGTAAAGTCTCGCCGAATGCAAAACGAACCAAACTTTCCACTGAGTTAAACCAAGCTGCTTTGCTATAACTCGGGTCTCTGCCGTAGTAATAAGTTTTGTTAAATGGTTTACTTACTGATATGTTATTATGCCATTTAGAAACCTAACGAAACGAGGAAGTTTTTGCAGTTATTTGTACATTTTCTTTATTATGATTTTAAAAAAAAATACTTCTTAATGTGAAAGTTGAAAATAAAAATTTTCATTTAACATTTAAATGAAAATAAATACGTTTTCAGTAGTGTTTTCATATGTTTTTTAATTTATGAGAATTATTTATTTAAATAATAACCTGAAACCACCAAAAAAAGAATGTTTAATCATCAACTTTTTTTTATCTCAACTATTTTACTCTGTAATCTGGGTTGTTTTTAAAAAAAAATTAAATCTTCCATAACTTTTTAACATTTGAATATAGGGTATGGTATTATATACTAATTTTGATAGCAAAGGAGCTGTACTATCACCTCCTAAAATGTTTTACACCTATTTACCTGTCACCCTGTATATTGTAGACTGTAGTAATGATTCATATTCAAAGATATAGAAAACTCAAACAGAAAACTATAAAAACAATCTTAACAAACATTTAACAAATGTTAAAAATAAAAATGTCATATGTGACCAACAACGATACATAAACAAACGAAAGTAAACATATATTGTAGATTGTAGTCACAATTCATATTCAAAGATATAGAAAACTTAAATAGGAAGCTATAAAAAAAACAATCTTAACAAGCATTTAACAAATGCTTTAAATAAAAATTTCATAACGAAATGAACAAACGAAAGTAAAATATTCAGTCTTTTTTTGTAGAAAGAACAGGGAAAAAGTTATTTAGCAACAAGTAAAACCTATAATATCCAGTCACCTTTATCCAATGAACCGAGAAAAAGAAGTTTTGACAATTGCTTTTCACTTAATCTATTCCTGGTTTTTATTGCAGAGATTTTTTTGACCGTCACTGGAGTTACTGCCTATATTCTTCCGAGTTTTAGGAATATCATGTTTCTTCAGGTGGCATGACAAATTGTAGTGTTCCCAGATGTTTTGTTTAACTTTCCACATATATTACACTTCTAATTCTTCTCAACTCTACTAAAATACTGCCACAATGCACTTGGATCCATTATATTGAACAACTTTAAGAATACAACGTCTTTGGTTGAGCAATACAAACGACTCTAAACAGTAAACATCAATAAATGACAACAAAATAACACAATGGAACGACCCGCGGTCGAAAATCGGCAACATCGGCTGAGTGCGAATCGCTCGCAGTGTTAAGAGTTATGTGTTACGTTACCAGTTACCAGACCAAGAAAACAAAATTCTTAGAAAATTTCACACAATTATTTTTGATTTGTTAGAAATTTTGCAATTTATCATAACGATGTAAAATCATCGATGTTTCAAATTATCGGGTTCCTTGTACATCGATGAATTAAATATCGACCATGTGACACATCGATGTGTAAATATCGATCTTTTGCTCCGATATATCGATGTTTTAAATACATCGATAAATATTGTGCATCCCTACCAACATAGTATTTTCTTGAAAAAATAAATGGCAGACTTAGGGGTCAAATCCGTCCTTTTATTCCATGAAATCATCTGAAACAAGTCGCTTAAATAATTTAGATCATCCAGAAAATATCATGTACCCTGTACTAATGTGTGCCCTGGTTTCAGTAGAATACGAGAAAGCACAATATTTTCAGCTTTCAGAGTCACAGTCTCCATATCTAGATAAACTAATATTACTTCCTCGAGATACCGTTTTGCGTTGGCTCATCAACAGCTCCAAATGCATGTTCCAGTTACATTGATGCCCTCTTACAACAAAGTGGTTCAATAAATAGTCACCTACTAGCTGAAAGCCCACAACAAATGCATTTACTCATTTTTAGATGTGTGTTTATTATACACTGGGGATGCCCACGTAAATATAATTCATTATATGTATGTCTGAACGCATTTTGTACCTACTTTTCACTCCGTAAGAAACTCATAAATATTGCACTTGACAACAAAGTAGGATTATTGAAAAATAGAGTATTTTTACATTCAGCCGTTAGTCACGTCAAATTAAAGTACGGGATGAGAATGATTTTTAAATTAAAAAAGTGTCCCCCCGTCGCGCCGGAGACGGATATTTTCCTGAACATGAATCCTGTGACCCCTCCTGACACAAATGCTGGATCCCCCTTGCGGAGATGTGCAAAAACGTGGGATTGATATGTGTCAAATTGCTACTTTTATGCAATTCCACACTAAATTTATTGAATATGTTTATGTAAATCTTTCAAATTCCCGAAATTCGTCAAATACATGCTGTAATGTAAACTGCAAAAACAATGGAACAAACAGGACGTGCAAATTTCATACATTTATATTATATAAATTGATAGCTGCTGTAGCTTGAGGTTAGAAGCTTAAATTATGCTTTGAGGATTCGAATCCGGCAGAGTTATTACGTAAAAAACCTGTATAATATAAAAAAAAACGATAAAATGTCAACTTGTTGGAGAACCTACATAATGTCAAAACGACATAATGTCACTTTTCAAGTTACGTAATACTCCTAGCGTACCTATTATCACATTTCAAGTACACAAATTACGTATGTTAAGATGCACCACAACCCATTTAAACGCCTTCGCAGATGCCAAGGCAGAAGCCTAAACACCAGAGCACCGTGGATGCTACAAGGAGCTTAAAAAGAAATTTTGTTACTCCGATTTTTGAACTGCTTGTGGTTGGTAGAACTGGGGACGGCCTCCTTAGGTAGATTGTCCCACAATCTCGATATCCTAGGGACAAAGAGGCGGTTGTAACAGCCAGCATCGAGCATGGATAATGTAGTCCGGGCGCCATCATCCCAAACATGTGAGCAGCACTCGAGGCTACGCCTTGAGAGTGAGTGGTTGATGTGGAAAAACTAAAACAAATCTTTTTTAGTTTTTAGAGAGTAAACATTGTATTCGGCAATAGTTTGAATATAAATATTTTATTTGGACATTTTCCATCACACATTTGGGTCCAGTTTATGTAGAGCAATGTTGCCTAATGTGACTTTACTACTTTTAACATGTATACGATTAACAATCAAACGATTTGTCGACAACTAATAACACTGTATGCATGGTGTTTGTGATTGTGCAGCCAATAGAAAACAACCCACCTATTGTTTGCTCTCGAATCCAACCCACAGTCGGTGCTTTTTTTCTTTGTTTACGTAATGTGATCTGATAAGATCTTATTGCTACTGTTCACGTCAATCAAAGGAATGTTTAAATCTGTGCAAACGTGACCTGCGATATTTTGCAGATTTAATAAACAGCCCAGTGACGCCGGAACCTCATATATTCTGGGGCAATCCGTAGAAGAAATGATTGACAAAATTCAGAGCTACACTTTATCCATAAAAGTAAATGTTTTGTAAAACAGCGCCTTTTACGAGTAGAGTAGGCTTAAACATCAATCGTTATAATTTCACTTTTACGATTAAATGGCGTAGCAAGAGCGAAATAAAATTTCATGGCTTTAATTTTTTCGATAACAAACGATCTGTTGTACTGAAAATAAATCAGCAGCACTTGCCAAGTTGCAGGCAAAACTATCAATATTTCCAGTTATTTCTTTAAACCTGATTCACAATAAAATAAAACTGCGTAGTGATCCTCACCTTATTCGACGCTCACTTATTCACGCTTTACTTCCCACGCAACTGATGAGGAAGTACTTTAATGGCGTAAACTTCATCATGAAAAGCCATTATCACTAATTTCCGTCGGTTCGTCGATCTAACCGTCCGTTAATTTCTGGTCCGTCTGTAACTCGGATTCTGATGGAATTTTCAGACAAGATTACTGCCATGCCAAGGATGAAAATGAAATGAAAATTTTTGATAATCGGTCCAAAGGAAAATTACAAATCTTTCATTTGAAAATATAGTGACTACTGATTTTAAAAAAATTTGTAGAGGCTAAAAAATGGGGGTTGCGTGTTGTAGGAGATGGGAGCGAGCATTAGTATATTTATTCGCCACCGACCTAGATAATTCTACGCACCTATTAGAATAATAGAGATGCATCGCAGGATGTCCGATATGTAGGCTGGTTAGTGGAGAGTAGGGCAAACATTTATAGATCGCAACGTTGTTAAATGGGTGGGGACTATAGGCGTGTGACTTCATCCTTTCAATTTTTTGTTTAGCTAACTTTTTTCTCAGCGGGCCTAATTTGTGCCGAACATAATTGTTCAGAGTCAACCTACTTGACGCCATTTTCTTAATTTCTCGGTAGTAGTAGTCGTCGATAATAATGGGTATGTCTTTCTAATTGCTCAACACGTATTATCTACAAGTAAAATAATTATGTAGAGGCACCACTCGATCCTTTTTCACATTTGAGTCCGTTTCGATAATCCGCAGCTCTCTATGTTCACAAGGAATTGCAAGCATGTGTACCCAACATAATTTCGTACACAAATGGAACCATCTCTCTAGCATCATTATCTTCCACTTCAGGTAAATCATGCGACAAACTTCAAATTGAACTCACCATGACTCTAAGAGGATGAGTATTTTTCCAAAGTTCACCTCCTGATTACGAATAATGCACTATCACAATCAGTATACTGATATCACGTAATTTTCCGCGCAGTGATAAGATACAATGGATATAAAGTCGTATTTGGAATAGTTAATCCGAAAAGAAACTCTCACAAAAAAAACCGTAAACAGTAATGAATTGCGATACAGCGCAACTCTAATGTATATACAGAGCGATCTTTATTTACTACTATCAAAAATATCTTAATGAAAATGTGATAATTCGTTTGGTATATATTTATAAAACATACTGCACTTGAAAATAAACGTGAACATATATATTTTTAAAACGATTATTTAAAACATTAATTTCCTCTATTTAGAACTATGTGGTCAACAGATGTTACATGTCCGGATTATTATAAAATTTCCAACTTACAATTTATTAGTAGACGTCAAGTAGGAAGACTCCGTTACTGGGTGAATGGATGGGGAACGAAAGAAGAGCAATCGACGGGAATTGTGAATAAAGAGTTATCCAAGACATACTTTTCGGAGTACCTAGTTTTTAGATATTTGATATTTTTTGATGAATCCCAACTTCAAAAGGGAGTTCGGTGTAGTATAATCGCCAGCACTGCACATCAGAACCTGCTCGTTCCTAAGTCGATTTACGTTTTACTTAAATTCATCATTCATTTCAAACTATAGTTCTTATGTTATCAAATACAAACCTTTGTCGCAATCGTCGGACACAATCGGCGCACTGCGCGTCACGAGTGATGATCAGAAATAATGATCAATCTCATCTTTGCGCAAGATACAGTCTCAATCACATTGCATCACTGCGCCAAAACCGAAACGCGAGATCATACTGAGACGAAGATCAAAAAGATCGTTCACGAACGCTCTGATTGACTATGTGACATTTGCATCAAAGTCTGATTTAACAATACGCGTAAGAAACGAGAATGATTATTGAAAGTCGCACCGTTCGACGGAGGCGTTTGTTAATATTTTTTGCTCTGGCGTGGTATGCGTATTCAAACAGCTTTTCGCGATAATAAACTGCATTGTTATTTTATGGCCTCTACGCCTCACACATGATCCGATAGATTCTCGCAAATAGGTGTAATAATGATATTGCTATCAAGCAGATTGAATTTAATGTGTAATGTACTCGTATGTACGAAACACAAATTCTTGAAATAGGGGAAACCGGCAGGTAAAAAACCTATATAATGTCAAAATAATCGGTAAAATGTCAACTTGTGCACTAGGTAGCCCCTAGTGTGCCGCTAGTTAAACGAATAAACAAATAAATTAAATAAACACATATATATTCGCCATTACAATAATTATATTTTTACAATATTAACATTAATATTATCACAGCTATACCTTACACCAGCTACTCATCCAAATTACACAATATTCAATTTTGACATTATTATAAAGCCCCTTTTTAATGAGACTTTCGGCAAATCTCAAAATTTATAAACTCCTGGGATATTTTTCTTATTCCGCGCCTGCTACAATGAGCATGAGTAAATGTCGAATAGCTCAAGGCTGATACTATTCGTCATTTATTTGTCTGGGCGGTCCTTGGGACCTTTGCCCATTAGTCACTGTCTGATGTACGTTAGTCGAATCTGTCAGTCCTGGTTGCCCAGAAACCAGACAAAGTCAAGGAAAAAGAGAAAGGGAAAGAGAAGAAAAAAGGAGAAGAACAAAGAAAAACAGATATGCTTAGTTTAAGAGGAAACACCTAGGCTTTTTGACTTGGTACACGGATTAATTTTGAGGTGAACTAAACAAATTTTTGATTCGGTTTTGTTAGAGTGTAATTTTGAGTTTACTAAAGATTCACGCTAACTTTTGATTACAGTGCGAGCCGTGGCCTTGAATGTTTACGAACTTGTTCCACTGTGTAGTCCACTGAGTCACGCAACAAAGGGTTGCTGTGCGATTCCGCTTAACTATAACGTCGCTGCGCCTGAAGCTTGACATAATCCCTCAAGTAAGGAATGTCAAGGTCTGTGTGTAGTGTCTCATTTGAGACATACCATGGAGCGTTGCAAATTGTCCGCAAAGTTCTGCTTTGCAGTACTTGAAAACTTTGCATGCGTGTCTTGGCAAGAAAACACCAAGCCGCACATGCATAAGTAATGGCTGGTTTAATAATCATTTTATATAGTCGAACTTTGTTTATCAAACTCAATTTAGAGGATCTACATAACAAAGGATATAGTTGCCGAAACGCAATTTGGAATTTTGTTTTTATGGATGCTGTATGTGTCTGCCAGGTTATGCCTTTATCAAGGGTGACACCGAGATACTTGGCAGAATTTGTCCATGGTACACGATTTCCGTCTACAGAAACCTCTGCTGGGGGGCCGCGACGTTTTTTGGTACAATAAATAGCCTGCGTTTTCGAATGATTAATTTTTATCAGCCACCGTTCCGCCCACTCTAGAACTTCGTCCACCGCATTCTGCAACCCATCGTGAACCAGATCACCAGTACACGACTGGGCGACAAGTGCAGTGTCGTCAGCATAGAGGTAGACTTCACAGTTGCTGGGGGAAGGGACATCATGGATGAAAAGCGAATAAAGAATTGGTCCTAGGACCGAACCCTGAGGAACACCGGCCCGTACTCGCCGTGTTGTTGACAAAACATTGTTAATTTTGATCCGAAACTTCCTTCCTTCAAGAAAGGATTTCTGTAATTTTAGAAGCCAAAAAGGAAAACCCTTTTGGATTAGTTTATAGAGGAGGCCCGCGTGCCACACCTTGTCAAAGGCTTTTGAGACATCCAAAAGCAAGATGAGAGTACTCATGCTAAGGGTGAAACCTCTGGTTACATGCTCCACCAGCCTGACTGCCTGTAGCTCGGTGCTATGCTCGGACCGAAAACCGAATTGGACGTCAGGAATCACATGGTGATTTGACGAAAAATTATCAAGGTGACGATAAATCACCTTTTCGGTGAGCTTAGAAGGAGCTGACAGCAGACTTATGGGACGGTAATCCTGAGGAAATATCGAACCCACCTTCTTTGGAATCATGATGACCTCAGCAGTCTTCCAGCCAGCAGGGAAGTACTGGATTTTGAGCGTCGCATTGATTATTGTCACCAAGTATGTCAGGGCTTTCGGCGAGAGCAGCTTCAACGCCTTGTTGGTGATAGCTCAAGGCTGATATTTTATACGGAAACCCACATAATGTCAAAAAAAAACTAAATGTCATAAAAATCGGTATAACGTCACTTTTAAGTTACGTAATGCGGGTGCGGGTATAGCGAATATCTCGGGCAAAGCGAACTTTTTACATACAAATTATGAGTATAGACAATTGCCAAAAAGTGCACAAATATATTTGTCCAGCGAATTGATGCATTTCATATGATCAGTTTTTTTAGCATTTCTATTTTCTCCGACGAAAATTAGAATAATACGGGAAATATTAGGTTTCTCTTAAAAACCTATTGTATATGTAAATGTTATATGTACTCATATTATCTCATCAGGCACTTAACGTTAATTAACCAATTGTGACCATAATAAAAAGCTTTTTTTGATATACTGATATCGTGACATCGGTTATGCATGAAATTATAAATGTTTCGATTCCAACTTTATGTATTTGCAAAATATTTTGTTTATTCAATTTTTCTACGCCACTTGGCAGGATAATATTGCAATCGTGAAACTGATTTCCGTCGGTCCTTCCGGTAATCCTTGGCCTCTCTACCTATATATCCTGTACAGCAAGGACGGATTTAGGATTTCGGCTAGGGGGGATGGTTCGCAACCGATATTTGGGGCTGGTAATTTTTCAACTTCAGTGGAACTTCCACTGTGATCTATCTGGTCACTGTCAGCTTGAAAAAAAACATGGAAAATGCCCAGAAATCCTCAGAAACGCAATATTTTATCATATGAGAACAAAATTAGTACGTGGCATTTATAATTAACTAGTGTAATAATATTTATTTATTTATTTATTTATTTATTTCCAACAGGTGAAACCCAATTACAGGGAGTGATGAAAAAAAAAATAACAATTAAAGAGACATGGTTCTTGGACTTAAATCTATAGTATCACACATTCTAAATAAGATTGGATGATCTATAGCAGTTAATAATCGATGCACAACTGTCACTGTAAATATCACACGATTCAGTAACACTGTTCATGACGCAGCACATAATATTAATTGGCGATTTTGTCATAAAATTTGTACGGCTAGCTTGACAATAGAATGCCGTTTGTTGTCGACTCTCTAGCCTTGGAACGCGGAAACATATTTTTTCAAGTAAATTTTGACAGTTAATTTTATTGTGAATGAGGCCATACAAAAACGACAAAGCAAATATGTTTCGTCTTGTCGACAGTGAATCCAAATTGAAAAACTCTAATAGGGCACTATGGTCACAACCTCTTTCTAGATATTAAAGATTAATACATAAAACAATTTTTTGCTCTGTTAACCGAAAAAAAAAACATTCTGAGGGACCCCGAGACATATCCCACTCCATTCCACAAAACGAGCATGAGACCCAAAAATTCACATTATCGTATGGACGCTAGACGAGACAAACAAGGATGTCTATATACCATCTATAGATCATGTTTTGAGACCGTCTCCAGACAGCCCAGAGATAAATTGCGCAACGGGGTATACTAGTGTGTACTAAGCTTACGGATTAAGACTCTGAACTGCCCATTCAGCAAATCAAGAATTGGTGCAAATACTGACACAATCAAGCACTTCTATTATATCAGCAGGTGATAAAATAGGTACATATAGTCAATTATTTTTAGAATTTCAATATAGATGTTAGCATAGTGATTCACGGCAACACCAACCCGAACAAAATCAGTCAAGCTTTACACACTTTTCAAATTACTATTGAGCAACAAACAGAACATAAATCACTTTTTAAGTGCAATCTGTATCGATAATATATTACTCAGACTTAGATTTGTCACGAGACACAATACTCATATATACGTATAAATCGTAAGAATTGTGCTGTAAACGTGACGTCAAAGAGGGACAGCGTTTGGAATACCAAAGGATACCAGAAAATCGCAATGCTCAGTTCCTATAGCTATAACTTATAGTTGGTATGCTTTTGCCACCATGATGTGTCAGAAAGTAATACAATGGTGTTAGATTACGAAAGCGAGTGCCAAACTGCTATACATTTCTGCCGGTTTTGGAGGAACTTTTTACGTAAGGTTACTATTACGCCAAGCACGAAAAGCTATGTGGTTTTTGAAAATAGGTATATTGGCGGGGATGATAATCTTAATTTTTTATGTTAGTTTATTTATACGCTTTCAAATTCGGTGATTCTAAGACCCTACTGGCCATATTCCACACATCATAGGTTTCCCCGTACATTTGTGTCAGAATAAAAGAGAAATGTTTTCGATGCTCATCTCCTTCTACTATCTGGGGTGAGCGCTCGACATAGCGGTCTGCTTGATTCTTCTACTCGTACTGCGACGGTGCTTCGGTGTGTCTGACTATCTACGAAAGTGTAATGTTGCCAGATGGACGGTAACTACCGGTATGGCAGGACAAGAATGTCTATGAAGTAATTGTATGGGTCTGTTTGACTGACTTGATCTGTTTAATTTCTCTATTGTACATGTTCTTAACTAATCTTTCCCAGAGGGTTTAACTTGTGCTAAACCTAATCCTCTATGAACTACTCACGGAGTTGCGTAGAAAGTGCAGAGTCAACCTACTTAACGCCATTTTTTGACATTGAAAAGTAAGTAATTGGTTCTCATGAATTCTTCTGTCTGATATTCAAAGTTATATTCTGTGGTTAGATTTAAGCAGGTTACTAGCTGATGACTTTAATGAAACGCGGCTGGTATAGTTAACTTTTTACGTAATTTACTAATGATAAATACAATGGCCTTGAAATTGGTGAGCCGCGTAGAACATTTTTTACAGAAACTACAGATTATTTCGTGTTCTACACAGATTGAGTTTTAATGTGCACTCGGTCGATAAATCCGTTTATACGC